ATGTCGCAAAATCAGAACATGCCATCCAGAAATTGAACAACAGAAATCACGGATCAGTTGGTACGAAAGCACTTCTTACCGTCTGTTAAATGCCGGTAGATAGTTGATATCAAGTTTAACCTCGGTCAGTTTGTCAGTAGTGTCGTGAACAGTCCGGGTCCGTTCGGCTCACCTTCTCACCAGAACACGGTCCGTGCGACACAGGTGACAACGACGAACTATGCGGTATGCGGGGCGTCCGGCACAAACCGTCATGAGCCCAGATCCAGGACGCTTCCTATTGGTCCACGTTGAAGTTTCTTTCTTTATCAGTCAGGCTACGTCATATTTGAGTACGTGTCCATCCTGGCGCCTCCATATGAACATGCTCTAGCTATAGCCGTGTGTTTATATTGCTGGGTTTGCAGAGTACGTATTGTCGTCTGGTTGATCATGGTATAAACCATGTTCTAAGTTCTCCCGTTTTCTGTCTCCAGATGTGTTGTTGAAATGAACAAACAGCACTTATATGAACACACACACACACACCGTCTCGTCACGCAGCTATCTATAGCTAGTTGACAGTAAACAGTGATGTGCGGTTGCGAGTCGATACTCATATTTTGTCAGCATCTGTGTTTTTAACTTTGACCCCCAAGGAAATATATTTGAGGTTTTAAAGCAGGAAAAGAATATTTCTTGTTACATACTAACACTAGCCATGTCAGTGAAGATTAGACATACAGGTAATAAGATACACCAAAAACAGTTATTCAAGCAACTGGATATGATTTTATATATCCAGTTGCTTGAGTAACTGTTGTTTGGCATAATACTAGGTATATCATTCTGCGCATCTCTAACAGATCGCCGTATAATGTTGCTTTGTGGTGTCATCATATAGCTGCATCGATATCCTTATTGATATATTTCATTCACTAGCACTGTCTACTATAAATATCATGGATATGTTTATAGTCGTCACTTTGAATATATATACGTCTGTATATCAGAGTTATCAACCAAGAATTGAGGTATTCAAAAACTCGTATTTCCCCAGAACCATCGTAGACTGGAACTCGTTGCCACCAAGCACAGTTGGGGCATCATCACTAGAAATCTTTAAACAACTCCTGCAATCAAATGTGCAAAGATTGAGTGTAATAAGCCGTTCGGTGTGATATAGCTAGCTACCGCCGCGCCGAGTGCTTGCGAAGCTGGTCACACACACCGTCGCTAGATCCTGCTATAGGGGTTGGCAGGGTGTTTCGCACCGTCTCGTCACGCAGCTATCTAGTTGGCAGTAAACAGTGATGTGCGGTTGCGAGGCCCGTAATCATGTTTTGTCAGCAACTATGTTTTTGATATTGAGCCAAGGAAGTATATTTTTGGTGAACATTTGTTTCTCCAGCCTTACAGACTGTTTTTTAAAACAGACAAAGAATATGTGAATATTTCTTGTTACATCATAACAGTAGCTATAATTTTTATACACATCTTTTTAACAGATCTCTGTGGTGTCATCTTATAGCTACATCCTTGTTGATGTATTTTCTTAACAGTCTTCTGTAAATATCATGCAGACCAAAACGTAAACAAAGCCGCAATATATGATATTATTCATTTTAGCAATTTTGTGTACTCTGATTTGAGGAAGAGATGACATATAACGTTATACTTTACAATATACGTTTTACATGTTCTACGAGACGTAACCGCGCAACTGCCCAGCGAATTGCCCGTACTACTAGCAATCTTACCTCCTAAGATCCCTAATCCCTATTCATTTGCCGCACGTATGTATACATAATCCATGAATAACTAATACTGGGCGTCCTTCAAAGCATCTGAAATACTAGCCTCCTGAGCAGACTTCG